TGCAGCTTTTGCTTGTTTATTGCTATAAGTTTTTCCCCACTAGATAAAAGGTTCTGTGAACCCTTTCAATTGGCCTCATTATAGTTACACCAGATATTTATGGGGCGCAGCATGTGAAACTAAGCCATTCACTCAAACATACTGAAATTATTCCCATTAACTTATCCCAGTTTTGGATTAACCCTTGTTACCAAGGGGAGTTTCTTTGCTTTTGCAATAATTTGGTTTCATATTAATTGTCAGCTAAAGATGTAAATGTTTTCTTTTATGCCATGAATCATGATGGTGGTAAAAAAATAGATTTTGAAACCCTTTTATATAGATACCTAATGGTTCCTCACAGCACTGTGATAAAGGAAGTGAGCACCCTAACACAAAGACAGCAACAGTGATTTATCAAAAACTCACAGCAAATCACTAGTAGAAGGGTGTTTGTGAAACATTATCCTCATCTCCTCCTTCTTTTCAGCATGTTTTAAATACTCAATCACATACAATTTCTGTACAAGCCAAAATTCAGCCCCTCAGCAAGGAAAAATGATATATTTTAATATTTACTCTGCAACTTTTACTTGGTTTCAGCTTCCTTTATCTGTCCTTCACCTCTTTTTCAAACTGAACAAAGCACACATTCCTTCCAGAAAGCAAACTCTTCTAAAATAAGCCAGTTTTGACATTACCTAAGCCAGAAAATAAAGCACCCTGAAAAACATCTTAAAATATGAAAACATTTTATTATGTGCATAGCTAATTGGAAATCAGACAAACAGAATCTTACCAAACTTTCCAGAAGAATTTACCTCGAGGCTGAGAACCAGCATGGAAAATTCATGGCAGTTCTTCAAATGTTTACCCTTACTGATCTCACCTCCCTGTAGAAAGCACAGAGGGGCAAATGAAAGATAGATGAGCACTGTGCTCTCATGGTGGAGGACATCTCAGTCTCCTGAGAAACATTCTTAGTGAAGTAACTGAGTAGTATCAAGTTGGGTAAAACTCCTAAGTTCACCATAAAAATATTTCTGGAACTATTTTCTCCAGAGGCCAAGGATTTTGAAGTCTGCATTTTATCTATACTCGGAGATTTTGGGAAGATTTTCCAAGTCTGTATGCCTCTCTCTCTCTGTCTGTCCATCCATCTCTTTTTCTAGCACGCTGCTCTGGGAAGAAATTTTTTTGCATCCTGGTGACCTGAGTGCTGCTGGCAGGTTTCTTTACCGTGTCTCTCTAACTCTCACACAGAAGACCTATAAAGCAAACTCTCAAACAGCAGCATTTTTCACTCACAGAAATCCTCCAGTTTTGCTGCAGATGTTCTTCTGTCATTCTTTGTATCCCCACTTTCTGCTTATACTGCAGAGCTTCATTCCCGTTGGTTTTCAATGAATAGAGAGCTGGAGGAAAGAGGAAAGGAAGGGAAAGGAAAAAAGGAAATTGCAGAGGGAAAATCCACAATTTTCTGCAATTCCCAAAAGGAACTAACAGCAGTGTGATTTTAACATGGCCTTGGGGATACTTGTGTTTAAGCAATCACCTTCTTGAAAATCTTCTGAGCTTGTTTAAATTGACTTGTTTTAAATGGGTGTAAATTTAACACACTTACTAAGAATCTGTGTATTAGCCCAAGGATACATTGTTTTTGTATCATTGGTTCTGTCGTATTCTGACTTTCTGGAGATTACAGGGTTGTTTGATATTTTGACAGAAAGCCAACACAACAATCATTTATTTCCAATAAACCCCCCCAAATGAATAAATACATCTCTGTTGTGGTCATATAAAAATAAGGTTATTCTAGGAACTAATTGATCATACAATATGTCTGATTTCGTTATATTTTACACTACTGCAAAAGATTATGCTAACTACTAGTAGGTTGCTAGTGTGTTTAGAGTGAAATACTTACCAATATTCTTGGAAAATGCATTTGTGTAGACATGTTTTGCAGGGAGAGGGAAAATCAAGCTTAATTGTTCTGAGTTCTGCAATAAGAATTAAAAGTTACTCTATGCTGAGCACTAGGTTTATGGAAGTCTTTGAATGCTACAAACTTTTTTCCAAGCAATGTTTTATAGAATTGCTTTTAAAAACTCCAGAGGGTAAATAATATTCTCAGAATAAACAGAAAAATGCTGATCTTGTCAGATTTAGCTACTAAAAGCCAAGCTGTTTTAAGACTTGGAGGATCAAGGGTCATGGTTATAAACAACACAGATAAAAAGAAAGAAAGGAAGGAAAAAAGAAAGAAAACTAAAAGTGAAAAAGAACTACACAGTGAATATAAGTAATAAATACATTGACCTTGACAAGAAGGGAATGAGATATTTATGCAAAAGGCAGGGAGGGGTAAAGAGGTGGCAAAGAGGGGAAGAAGAGAAAGTGCACAAACTGTACTTGGGAAAAAAATATTTCTTAGAACTTGTTTAAAGCCGGAAATGAGTCACTTTATCTTCATGTGGTTTTGCTTTCGAAAGGGGAGAAAGGTCAAAGCTTCTTTGTTTTAAATAAACTGGTCACTACTTCTGAAGTGTAACATGATAGGCTTCAAGAATCGTAATGAAAACTGGTATTTCCCTGACAGCCCAGGCTGCAGCACCTCAGTAGTTGTATGGTCATGTATTGTAAGCCCAGGGAGTTTTATAAACAAAGGCACGACAGAGCATGACTTTGCTCATGACCTTCATGCCCTAGTGCTCCTGTGTCAGCCATATGGACAGTGTGATGGCTAAATTTGCCACCAGTTATATACTTTCACAAATTTCAACTGCACACATGGCCCTCCACCACTGTGCTCAGAAACACGAACCGGAGCTAACACTGGGCCCTGTATGACACCTCTTTCCAAAATGATTCTGGTGGGGTAAAGTTTCACAGAAAAAAAAGTGCTGAGACACTCAAAGTGACACCAGAAATTAAAAATATTGCAAAAAAAGACAGTAGGAATGCTACAGCAAAAAAAACCCCAAAACCCAAACCCAAAAAAACAACAACAAAAAACCCCCAACTTGAATAGAGGAATGCAGGTTTTGAATTAGTCTTTTGCTATAAGTGGGTTTGCTGAGGTCCGGGGTTTACCAGAATCCCCACTACAGGGAGTGTTAGGCTTCTCAGATTCTACATCTAATGTACTCAGCTACACTCAGTTCTAACTGCAGGCCAAGAACCACTTATGGAGGGAAGGGGGTAACAGCAAAGAAATTAGATAACTGAATTTCAGGGGCAATACCTTCAGCACTGTCTTGCAGCGAAGGGCCTGATATTAAAGGAGTGTCTTCATGCTATCCAAACAGAAAAGCAAATAGAAGTGTCCTGCATCAGATTAGAAGTCAAAAGAACAGCCCACAAGCAGGGCAAGAGAGGAAAGACTCCACTGAAAATAAATAGTAAAAAACTCAATCTCCTCTTTCCCTACTGTTCAAATTCCGCTTCTTACTATATAAACTCTCATTTCACTGTTATTCTGCACAGATGCAAGACTTTTTATCTTTGTCTCGATTCTCATACCACCACCACTCTTTCGTTCCTGAGTTTCTTTCCTGACATGCTTCTGACAACACCTCTCTTCCAGACTGAGAATTCCTTTTCATTTTGTTTGCTGATTCATGCTGCCACTTTATGCTTAAATATGAAATATCAAGCTATATCTGTTATATATCACTTTTTTGACCACTTTCCAAGCTTTACCTCTTAGATAAAGTCTATATATCTATATATCTACCTAAAGGTTCTTCCCTACATTGCACCTGTAATTATTTTAATATTAGTCTGTGTGTTTTTAGGAGAATCATTTCCTCTTCTGGTGTGCATAATGTATCTGCTGTAAAAAGCTATCAGTTCCCAGACCACTAGAAACAACAATGGAAGAGCACACTTATACAATAATGTGAGGGTATGTATCACTGACCACAAAATTGAAAGGTAATTACGGTAATGAAAATTGTGAACTTTCAAAATGACCAGCTTCATTATTCTTCGTGCATTATTGCCCCAAATTGGGACAATTACTCAGTTTGCAGTGAAACTAAATAAAAGGTTACTGATTCATTGGACGTTAGCTGTTTCGGAGCTAGAGTCATGCTTGCTGTTAGAAGTAGCACTTGAAATGGCATATTATGCAGAAGCACCCCAAGAGTCTGGATTTCCTGCTTTGACCTTGCTTCAACATTGAGCTGTCTATTGTGCCCACTCCTTTCTCTCTAGCCTAGAATCAATCTGCCATTTATTCAAAACTGGCTGATAATCAGAGGTAACCAATTCCTTTCCAGTTTATTTGTTTGACTTTCCCCTCTACTTTTCTACCTATTCGTGTCTGCCCTACAATTATCTCCACTTGTGCCTGAGAGAAACTACCTTGCCTTTGACTACGATGATACTGAGACATCTGAATATCTAAAGATGCATTGATCACACAAATATTGTAAAAGTGAAATAAAGTCATTTAGCGGAGCAGAATGATAGTTCTCCAAGTGAACTCTACAAACACAAAATATGCCTATAGCTTTGCAGAAACCAAGAGGACAAGAAAAAAAAAAGCCATGATAATTTCAACCTGTTTCTTGAGTATGGGGCAGGCAAATCAGAGCTCCAGCAGTTCACTGCTATGTTCAGGTTTCTAAGAAACTGAAGAGATTCTTGATTAGAAACCACCCATCAGTGAATACTAGGCTGTATTGGTGGTACAAGGAAAGGTATTGGTCTTTATTGCGCTCAGTGAAGCAGGTTGAAACATTGCTTTCTTATCTTCAAACACTTTATGATTGTCTTCAAATAAATTGATGTCGACAAAGCATCACTAAGTCATGTTATTCTGCTTATCTACCTGTTGGGGAAAAAAATGAACAAAATGAGAAAATACTCAGGCTTATGACAAGCTTTTCTAGATGAATTAATCTGCAGTCCTTTTCTTTTTTATTTTTGTACCCCTGCAGAGGAAGAGAGAAGCAATGTAAAATACTAGTTTGCTTTTCCTCTTAATTCTAAAAACAACACATTTATTACAGGTTCAGAAAAGCTTCAGATATGTCATTGATCCATGCCAAACTCCAAACCTTTTGAAAGTGTCTTTCTTACTGAAAAGTCATCAGATTAAGACTTAAATTGAAGAAGGATGTTTCTGTGAGTTAAAGAATTGGACTGGGCCTCAGAGACTCACATTTCAAGTCCTGGAACTGCTATAGACTTATTTTGTGATTTTGGTTGTGATCCAGCAATGCACTTAAATTGGTGTTTAATTTAAAACCCTGGAGTGGTCCCATGAAAGTTAAGCAGAGAGTTAAGTCTTTGTTGAATGAGAGACTTAGTCTGTCTGAGCTCATTTCTGTAGCTATAAGATAGGGTTAATACTTACATTCTGCCGTAGTTTATTTTTACAGAAAACCTTCTGGTGCAAAAAACTGTATCTTCTGATCTGTGCAATACTGAGACCGACTGATGTCAGCTGGAGCCTGTAAAAATCACTCTGCTGCAAAGCAATGATAGTCAATGAATTAGCCTCTTATCCTCTGGAAGCAAGTTGCTGCTATGAAAATACTATTTGCATTGAGGCTTCATGGAGAGGGGGCAAGGGGGCATTTACCAACTTCTCTTCACTTGCATCCTTACGGTTTCAGTGTCCCTCTCTGCCTGGCTGCTCTCCCACAGTCTCTTACTGCTGGGCTGGAGAGGAGTCAAGCTGCTCCTTCAGCAGTCAGCAGTAATTGCTGCAGTGTAAGGCAGCTGGCAGAATAATGTACCTACATTAAAACCTGTAGCTTGTGAAGGAAATGGAATGAATCTGCAGTCTTTTGTCTTATTTGTTAATATTTTACAATTATTTTGATAAATCTCTTTTCCCCTATAGGCTGTGTTGCAAGGGGGTTCCCAAAGCCTCATTTATTATTTGACAGGTCTACACACTCTTCCAAGAATGGATTGTGAAATTGCTATACCATTCCAAATACAGTTAGAAATTTCATTCACAGACTGAGAAAAAGTGCTCGTGAGTAAGAAGAATGATTAATTTCACAGCAGAACTGAGAGTATGTAAGCAATAAAAATCATCAGTATTTTACTTTAAATTAAGGCTTAATTGAATCCTTACAGATTCTTTGAATATGTTCTGGCTACATATATGACACAGTTGCAAGTTTCATTGCATGAGGGACATTATAAGTGAGAGTGTTTATCTTTTCTCTTTAAGATTCTTTATTTATGCAAAACAACAGAGATCCACTTTGTGCCTGAGTGTGAGACAGCCCACCTGAAATTTCTCAGACAGGCACGAGGTCTCTAAGACCCATAACCTCTCCCTTGTCCTCCTCATTCATCAAAGAGCCTATGATCTAGCTTCTGCATTTGGATGTCAAGCAGGAGATTGCCAATTGTCTTGGAAAAGTAAAATAAACACTTTTTCTACATACAGTAATGCCATTGTTTATTGACTACTTACTCAGTTTAGATGTAATTGCGGCCATTAGGGAAACATAAGCAGCTCAGTGCTTGTCAATACCTGACCTTTAAAATATTCAGTACAATCAGTGTTACACGATGTTTAACAAGCTGGCCTTTTCATGTGGATGTGGCTGTTGTTTCCGTACAAGCAGGAATGAAGATGCTGTTCCTCCTCACAAACTTTTTTTTAAATTACTTTTTTTCTTCATCCATGGTGTTGAAGTAACTCAGAACAAAATAAATCTCAGCCCTAAAAATTTAGTTTGGATTCACAATCTTTGGAAAAAAGTGAAAAGCAGTTTCATCAGAAAGGGAGGGGAAAAAAAGCTCCAAAGCAGCAAAGTGAAAAAGGGCCAGGATGTTAAATAGTTTAACTGAGAGTGTCTTCATGCATTATGACATTTGGCAAATGTAAATCAAGCCACCTTCAGGATGTCACAAGCAAAATTTTCAACAGTGGTTCTGATGACTGAGGAGCTCTTGAAGAATCTCTCATCAGCAGACCATAAAGACTAAAGCACAAGCTATCACTAACTTGCAGATGTTATCAGGATGTGACTTCAGCACAGCTATGGATCCCGATGGAGAGACAAAACTGCAGATGTTTAACGCATTATCGTGGAAACTAATTGCAAACTATTCTATTTCAATTATTTGAATTTTGCACAAAAGAGATATTCTATATCTTCAGCCTCTATTGCTGGTGTGCAAGTTAAAAGTTCCTGTAAATAAAAGCAAACAGCTTTTTCACTGAGCTAATTAAAGCTGTTAATATTTCAGAGCAGACTGATAAATAAGTGTTTCCATTTCAAATTACTTTTTGAAACAAACAAACAAACAAAAAAACCCCAAATATCCTGTCTTCAAAGAATGAAATAAGCAACATTACTCTGTTTTAACAGAAGGCAAAAAGAATATGTTCAGACAATGATGACTTACTTTACTCTGCAGATCAGAAAGAAAAACAAAATAGAAAGACAAAGTGAAAAAATGAGTTTAGAAAATAAAAGCCCAGCAATTTTTAGTCAACATTTGTTGAAAGCACAAAACACAATAAGAAAATAATTGTACAAACTTTATTCCTTGTGACTGATTCTATTTACTGAGTATGATTTCTCTGGATGGCTCTTTCCACAGTTTTACTAGCCTCAGAAAGTTCTGGGAATGTAGAAGTAAGGAAAATTGTTGTGGAAGAGTTGTAAGCAAGCACCAGGCAAAACAGTGAGATCAAAAGTTCTCCACAGCAAATAGGATTTCCCATATTCTTTTGCCAACTTTTCACTTCCACAGGCTGTACTTGCCACATTTTAAAAGGCTGGAAGTCAAAGGTTTCTGTGACATTCCTGGATGTGAGGAATATTTTTTTAATAAATTAAATAAATCACTATTTTTTAAATAAATTAAATAAATAAAAAATTTAAAGAAAACAAAAGAATAAAATTAAATTAAATATCCTGGTGTAACTCCCTGACCAAGCAGTATATTGCCTTCAATATTCAGTCGTTTTTTTCTTCTTGGAGCGTAAAGAGTTGTGGTTGAAATAGGTCAGTTGACTAGTGCCCTCTTCTGCTTTACACTGGTCTCTGCTGCCCTCTCCTAACCTCTGCTCTCCCTCCAGCAGTTTCTGTTCCACTCACTGATCCAGCAGGACCTTGGCACCCGCAGGTCCCTCAAGTCAAACAAGCAGGCATCTACTACATTACACGGCCTGAAGGTGACTGCACGGGGAGAGAAGAGGGGGATTGTGAGAGAGAGAGAGAGAGAGAGAGAGAGAGAGAGAGAGAGAGAGA